CCAGGAAAGGGATTGTACTGTTCTCTTCAAATTCAACGGTAAATTTGATATTTGCGTGACAGTTATTGAGGTAGTGTAGAAACTGAGTTGCTGTGTTTTTACTGTCAAACAAGGTGAAGGTATCGTCAACGTACCGAAACCAAATAGAAGGGCGAGCGTTGTTGTTAAGAACCCATTTCTCTTCAAAATGGTACATAAAGATATTGGCCAAAACAGGACCTGAAGGAGACCCCATAGCCACACTATCAATTTGGTCATAGTATTGGCCATCAAATATGAAATGACTCTTCTTTGTGGCAAACTCCAGTAGAACTTTCAAGACTGAGCGGGACAGTGTTGGTGGATCGGGGAGGGCATACCATTTGTCAAGACAAATTTGTATTGTCTCATCAAGTGGAACGTTTGTAAACAATGAACTAACGTCAAACGAGCACATAATTTCATTGTTATGGTTATACGCCTTGGCCCAGTCTGCAAAACTAAAAGAGTCCTTGATCGTGAATTGATTCAGGAGAAACTTTATTTTAATTTTTAGGCGGGCATTTACAGATTTGAATGAACGAAAGGCTTCTTCAGTGTGAATTAATTCAAGACACAGGTAAGAGATTGCACATCGTTTAGATACTTGGAGTTTGAATGCTGCGGTCTGTGCTGTCGGCATCGATAAACATGTATTTTTGACGTTTATTTTGTGATCTCCCTTAATACGGACACCCGGATAATATCGACACTTCGGCGTGTAGCTTTGGTGCCCTTATTAACCGGGTTTTACTGAAACATACGAGACTGCTTCACCTGGATTTATTTTTTGTTCCTAGTTACTATATCAAAATTTCCAAGCAACCTCATCTCCGGTAATATGACTGACGTATTTTTCACGCTTTAAAAAACTATTTGTCACCGTAACCTTCAAGGACTCAATTATACTTTAAATACCATACACACTGTAAAGAAAAACAAAAGACAAGGACAACCGGGAAATTAAATGCGAGATTTATACCTTAGAATAGCGTAAAAGAAAGCGTCGTTTTTATTTCATATGTTAAAGATGATTTCCAGTACGTAATGCGCATTCTCGAGTTTGTTTGCGTTTTTTGTCTTGTTTCATGTAAGACATCACAACATGTAAACATTTCAGTCGCACCTATTTACATGAAGTGAATTCAAAGTTTCAAAACAACCGCCATTATGGATGCAAAGCAGGAGAAGCTTTATGCTGCGTTCTGTCTTATATCACTTGACGAAACAACTTCGCAGCTGTAAAAATCAATGAAGCTGTTGGAAAAGAATTTGAAAGGCCTCAAGGATAAGGTATGTGGTTCGTAACCAATAACGTCGATTCGCATTTCATCGAGTGAGCCATTATATTGTTTAAAATATTAGGGTGCCGAGACTGCGCAGTACGAACTGGAAATCACCTTTAATCCGTACTGCCATGTTGAACGGTACATACCTCCGCCGCAAAGGTTCGAACGTTCGTTTTAGAAATCCGCTGCGCGAGGTGAGTGCTTTCACGCAATCCCGTGCCTGCACTCACATCGCCTAGAAGATTTTCCCTACCCGAAAAACAACCCTTGAGCCTCTCCGGAGGCGAGAGTCTCGTAGGTAAACTCCTCCTGATAAACCCAACAGGTAAAGCTTTCAACTTCGCTTGTACTTTCTTCACTCAAACCAAACAACATTTCAGACGTTTTGCCACTGTGAGTTGCAGCTGGCTCCGGAACGTGTCTTAGTTGAAAGCCCTGATCATGCTGATTGTCTCTTGCGTGTATTTCTTCATGTCGCTTGCAATCTGATAAGCGGCCAAAGTCTTGGTTACAATGCTTGCATGTATACTGCTTTTCTCCTGTGTGAGTTTTTTCGTGTCGCCTACAATTTGATGACTTGTTAAAGCACTTATTACAGTATTTGCATGCATACGGTTTCTCCCCTGTGTGAGTTCGTTCATGCTGCTTGCAAGCTGATGGGTCGCTAAAGCATTTATCACAATGTTTGCATGTATACGGCTTCTCTCCCGTGTGCGCTCGTTCATGTTGCTTCCAATGTGACCACTTGCTAAAGCCCTGATTACAATGCCTGCATGTATACGGCTTCTCTCCTGTGTGAGTTCGTTCATGCTCCTTGCAAGCTGTTGGGTCCCTAAAGCATTTATCACAATGTTTGCATGTATACGGCTTCTCTCCTGTGTGAGTTCGTTCATGTTGCTTCCAATGTGATGAGCGACCAAAGCCCTTTCTGCAATGCTTGCATGTGTACGGCTTCTCCCCCGTGTGAGTTCGTTCATGTCGCTTGCAATCTGATGAGCGGCCAAAGCCCCTTTTACAATGCTTGCATGTGTACGGCTTCTCCCCCGAGTGAGTTCGTTCATGTTGCTTATAATGTGCCAATTGGCTAAAGCACTTTTTACACTGTTTGCATGTATACGGCTTCTCTCCTGTGTGAGTTCGTTCATGTCGCTTGCAACCTGACGAGCAGCCAAAGCCCTTATTACAATAGTTGCATGTGTATAGCTTCGTTCCTGTATGAGTTCGTTCATGTCGCCTACAATTTGATGACTTGTTAAAGCATTTATCACAATGCTTGCATGTATACGGCTTCTCTCCTGTGTGAGTTCGTTCATGTTGCTTGCAATGGGATGACTTGTTAAAGCCCTTATTACAATGTTTGCATATATGCGGCTTCTCTCCTGTATGAATTCGTTCATGTTCCTTGCAATTTGCTGAAAGACTAAAGCTCTTTCCACAATGCTTGCAAAAATGTGGTCTCACTCCTGTGTGAATTCGTTCATGTCGCTTGCAATATGATGAGGAGCTGAAGCTTTTATTACAATGATTACATGTATACGGCTTCTCTCCTGTGTGAGTTCGTTCATGTATCTGACAATTTGCTAACTGGCTAAAGCACTTTTTACAATGCTTGCATGAATACGGCTTTACTCCTGTGTGAGTTCGTTCATGTCTTTTACAATGTTCTAATGTGCTAAAGAACTTATTACAGTGCTTGCATGGATATGGCTTCTCTCCTGTGTGAGTTCTCTCATGTTGTTTGCAGTTTCCTAATTGGCTAAAGCACTTATTGCAATGCTTGCATGTATACGGCATCTCTCCTGTGTGAGTTCGTTCATGTCTCTTGCAATCTGATGAGCGACCAAAGCCCTTTTTACAATGCTTACATGTATACGGCTTCTCTCCTGTGTGAATTCGTTCATGCTCCTTGTAAGCTGATAACTGGTTAAAGTACTGTCCGCAATGCTTGCATGCGTGCGCCTTCTCCGGTATCTTGGTTGCCATATCCGTCGAAGCAGGTTATGATTGGCTTAAAAATTATCCCGCGTTTTGTCGAAAACCATGGGTTTCTTCCGTCGCGAACCCGGATGTTAGATTTGATTCTTTTTTAAGGAGTCATGTCAACTATACTGTCAAGATAGATGTTTGTGCCGTATTCCTAACAAAATGACAAAGAAAATATCATATCAAGTTTGCTAGTTATCGGGCAGGGTGGTGGGAACTCGGTTTGCAATTCGTGTTCACAGCGCGGCCACGCGACAAATGGTCCTAATTTTATTTTCAAATAAATTATTCGTGCTCTGTTCTTTCTTTCATGTGAGGTATATTGTTTTCATGTTCTTCAGATGTTTTATTCGGAGCGAGTGTTGCAAACCAGAAAACTTCATTATCACAGCATTCACTGACTGCGACGAGACTGGAAGAACAATCTATATCTGGGAAATTCTTTTAGGATAAGTGCTAGAGTGAATCAGTTACTAGACTACGAGCAGTCCCTCTTTCGCTTAGTCCGTCGTACGCGACGCGAAAGAAAACTGTGAGAAAAAAAAATGGCCGCGAAAAACCCTCTCAGTTACAGTAATCGATCTAACTGTAATTTACTGAATGGTTTTCCCTTTAAAGTATAAATAAATTCCACTTTTTGAAAGTGAGTGAAGGATTCCCAACGCTTCATGATCAAGCATCTCCATAAATGTATATGGCTTATTGGATGTTCTTATGTGCAGTCCTGTGGACAAATTTGTCTACCTTTGTTCTGAGATGGGAGGATCCAGTGGGGCAGAGACAGGTATCAGCAGGAGACTATCCCTCAATAAAGTGCCTTTGTAAAGCTCAAACCAGTGTGGAATTCAACAGTTTAGTGCTAAAAGACCAAACTTAAAATCTTCAAGAGTAATGTCCTAGCTGTCTTACCATATAGTGGTAGACGCGGTGGCCTCATGGTCAGTGCACTCAACTCCGGAGCGAATCGAACGGTCCAGATTTGAGCCCTGGCCTGGGTCATTGTGTTGTGTTCCTGGGCAAGACACTTCACTCTCATGGTGCCTCGCTCCACCCAGATGTATAAATGGGTACTGGCAAATTTAATACTGGGGGGTAACCCTGCGATGGACTAGCATCCCATCCCGGGGGGAGTAGAAATACTCCTAGTCACTTCATGCTACTGAAACCAGGATAAGCTCCGGCCTGATGAGCCACTTGGCTCGTATGCAGACTTTATCTACCTACCTCTTCTAGTATATGGTGCAGAAACATGGAACACAACTGAACATGATGCCTGCCGGTTGGATTACAGAGAGGGTGCTTAAGGAAAATTTTTCAAATCTTTTGGCCAGAATAGATTATGAACAAAGATCTATATAAAAAAAGCTGGGATGATGCCTGTTTCTGACATGATAACAGATAGGTGCTGGGTATGGTTACTGCCATGTTCTAAGGCTTGCGAATATCAACAATGCTAAGGTGTCTTTAACATGGAGCCCTGAGGGTAGAAGAAGAAGAGGTAGACCCAAGACAACCTGGCGTCAAACGATTGAGAGAGAATGGGGGAGACTTGGCTTTCCCTCGTGGGTGCAGTTCAAAAATGTGGTGAAAGACCATGCGAAGTGGGATGAGTTGGTGTGCGGCCTCACACACCCCCCCCCCTCCGAGGTATTAGAAGAATGATGATGATGATGATGACGACGATGATGATGATGATGATGTACATCCTCATAATTATCTCCTCAAGGCAGATGGGTTCCAGTTCAATCGATCAACCATGCAAGTTAAGATTTCTGTCAACTGGCCACAAGAAAATATCACCTTGGGATTTATAAATTTAAGTCTCTCCTTGCCCCAAATTTGTCTCCACATATAATGTAATATAGAGATTTAGCCAAACCTAAAGGCAGAGTTCCTGGGCTGGGTTGTTCAAAGCCCGATTAAGCTAACCCAGGATAAGCGAAAATTTTGATTTGAGTTTTGCAACTCTGCGGTGAGGTTTTTTGTGTATTGTTTGGCCTTCTGTTTTGAGGTTGAATAATCTCAACATACACAAAGCAAAAGCAGTTAAAAACATTTGTACACAAGAAAAATTTATAATTTCGGTTAACTTTTAATCCTGGATTAGCGCCAACCAGCTTCCAAACAACCCAGCCCTGTTTACAACAAGTTAACCTGGCATAAGCCCATGATCCAATTGAAATCCAGCACTTGGTCAGCAGTCAACTTAAAAAAACAATTGACGTCAATGAGCTCTAAACTCGAGTGTGTGATATGGTCACATGATACTGGTCAGCGGATACCTTGTTTTGACAGGTGTCCATTTACCATAACATGGATGTGCAATATTAAACATTAAGATGCTGTGAACCAAGGCAGCATGTTTCTGACAACCTATTAGCTGGAATATAACCACCATCTTACACAACTCTGCTGCCGTCATCATCGTTGTCATGCGTACGCACCCACGAACAACACCACTAGCCATGATAACCATGAGAAAATCAATTCATGGGGTTACTTTTCTTTCCTATATGAGTATGGGGCTCCGCTTGGCAGCCCCTGCTCCGCTGTTAAATATAATATGTGGAGACTTTGGTTTTCTTATTAGTAAATAGGTTGAACAGGAAAATCATCCAGGATTTTTATTGTTCAAACACATTATTAGAGTTGTTTAAACTATTTTCTAGTCTTTGCATCCCCACATGTTCAGCACTGTTCACTAATTTTAAATACAAGAATCTAGTCTCCATTTACCATTACTTCCCTCAAGGGGGTAAAATTATGTCACCTTGTTACATTTACGGACAATTTAAGCCCGTCTACATGTCATTGGCATCCCACTTAACTATTCTAGCAACTTGGCAAAGGTGAAGTTTTGAATTATTTAAGTTGTTTACATGACACTTGCATAAACCAAATTTAATCCTCTGTGTAGTGGTACTTGTTAAGTTGAATGTACCAAAGGAAAAATAAAAGTGGCTAAAACCATTTATAAACCTTTGATAAATGCATTGAATGATTACTAAAGGCAATCGTAATTGTATTATTCTCCTTATTTGAGAAAATCAGACCTTCATAACTAACTGCTTGTGAACTGCTTGTCATCACTTGACAACGACCAGTTTACTTGACATTATTTTCCCTTATTATAATTAAGCTTATTATCATTGTGTAAAATAATGTCTACCATGTTTACGTTAAGCTTATATTCACTGGCTGGTAACCTGTACGTATTCAGCGTGTCTCAGTTTCTTGTTAATAAATTCGATTGCTGGCGGCTCCCTCTACTATTTGTTGTATGTTTGTCTCTACTTAGAATAGAAATGTTTTCTATATGGCTTAGCAGAGCGAAAGAGAATAGAATTGCTAGTTTTAGTCCGTTGAATCAAGAAAATACAGGGACCTTGGGTCCACCTTTGTACAGCACATACATTCTGGTATAATTTATTATAAAACACAACTACTTGTAGTGTACTGGGAAAGATTTCCGTATAACCCCATACATTTATTATGTATGCAGAATTATTAATTATGTATGCGCTCTATTGTTTTTGAAGACAATAGCAACTCCCTAAGGTATTGAATATATACATTGATAATTACTACTTACTG